ATAGTAATAAGAATTATGAATTGTAAACCTTTGCAACAAGTTTTTCAGCAACATCCTTTCCTTTATTCACTTTATCTTTAATTCTTTCCAAATATTCATTCAGAATGTCTTTCAAGTTTTTTCCAACTTCTTCCTTTATTTCCTCTTCTCCCCTGTAATATATTGGAAGTACACAACGTTAAAAATTTATTTACTAATAATTTCCAAGGATTTGTAATTTGATTTTTTTAATTTATTAAAACAACAAAACCTGTTAAATATAAGTATTTTCTTTAAAAAAAAAAACGGAAACTTACTCATCTAATTCTACAGCATATGGAAGATTAAGTGCAGTTCTTAGTGAACCAGTTTCGCCAAAACCTTCCAAAAATGACTTAACTGCATTATCTACGTATGGGGCAGTAGCATCTATACAGAATTAAAATTTGCAAAGATAAAATATAAATATTATTTTAAAAATATACAAAATTTAAATAAATAATTTACCTTGCCAGAAATCGGCAGCAGCAAGCCCAAAAACAAACAATAAGATACAGATTTTCATGATGATCTGTAATAAAATATTTTAATCATTAATAAGTAAAAAAAAAAGATGATACTACTATAACCAACTTTAATATAGTAAATTACCCGAGCCTTTAAGGAAAGTAGAAAAGGCGTAATAATTAATTCTTTTTTAGATTATATATAGCTAATTCTTATCTGTTTCTATAGGAATTTAACATCTGTTTGTTATCTGTGTTCCTTAGTTCAGAGAGAATTAACTTTCTGATATCATTAAAATATTTGACGCAGAGAAAATATTTTCCAAAGAGAATATAATCATATGTTACATTTCATTGATAAATTTCAATGCTAATTATCTATAGAATACTTTTGATTATTAAAAAAATAATAAAAAGGTAATTATAAAGTCGTGTTAGATTCTATTAGATTATTTACAACAAAAATTTTTATTACATTGTAGTAATTTAATTTGTTACATAAACCTAATTGGGTTAAATAAGATTAAAATTCAATAATTAACATTCTTTATACTTCACTATTTAATCTTAGCAATTTGGGCTTAATAGCAATTTTTAAAAGAATTAATTAGCAATTTTTAATTAGCAATTTTTAAAAGAAAACGAGTAATTATTTTATTGTGACATAGTCACAGTGCTTGGCTGCAATTTTTTAAATCATATTTTTAATTTATTTAATTTAAAATATATGCTCTCCACCTCAAATTATTAGTGTCTTACTCCCTGTACCTCATACTTTTCTCAAGATTAAAATATGAGAAAGTTTTTAAGAGGTGTTTTTAAAACTAATTTACTTTGTAAGTTTTTAGTCTAATCTATAAAACTAGCAGCCAGGGACGCCCCCTAGTGGGCATTCTTTACAAATTTCCATGAGGCACGGTTCCTTTGACTTTTTTGTTCCTATCAATATGCTCTACAGCTCTGTAAAAGTCCGAATGGTAAGATTTACCCTCCGAATGAAGAGGTGGCGATCCCCCCAAACTGTAGCCCCCTGTGCGAACAATAAAGTCAAAGGAACCATACCCCTACTCCCGATCCTTCGCGAGATATAAGCCCCTGAAATAATAAATTCCTATTACAAATATACTGAATTATTTATATTGTTATATTGACCAAATAATAATTTATTGGCCAAATGAATAATAATAATTTATATTGTTAATTTAAATAATAATTAAAATTGTTAATTTAATTTGGTGTTTGAAATATGACACACGATAGGGGCGCCTCTAGTGTCCGTTATGAAACGGTTACGGGACGGACACGAAATGAATGGGTTATATATATAGATTAGCTCGAAATATAGAAAATTAATGAGGAAATTTTAGTTGAAGAATTCTTGTTTTTAAATTAGCATTTTAGAAAATATTCTGAGGATACATTTTATAAACAATACTCTTGGAAGCAATTTATTTAAAATAAATTAGAAATAATCTTAAAACAATTAATACAATTTTTCAATTAATTAATTCTTATATTTTAGATTTGAAAAAGTTTAATTAAATTTTAAAGTGTTTTAAATAATAAGATAAAATTATTAAGTTTTTGTTTTTACAAAAAATTAAAAACTGTCAAATAAGAACTGTTGGCTGTAGGTGCTTGCATATATACACCACCCATACTCATACTCGTCATGTTCTATTGTCCCCGCGTAATGCTGTGCGATGGCTTTAAAACTATCGATGATTTTATACAATTATGGACGATGGATCAATGGCTGCATCTGACTATAGTGTATCTTTTTTTAAAACTTTTCCCGCCCTGTGGGCACTAAGAAGGATCTTTATTTTTAATCGTGTTCAATGTGGATTCGTCTTTGTTCCCAATGGAAACGGCCAAACTATCTAACAAAAACTTAATTGAAATATGCAAGTCAAATAAGTACGATTGATTCAACAAATAATTAAATAATGTTCAATGATTAATTTTAATAAAAATAGTTTAATTAGAATTATTCACTTATTTTTTTCAGGTTAGTTGTTGCCTGCCTAATGCTCGGTATCCATCGAATTTCATCACAATGCTACCTCACTTATGACAACCCATAGGATCACGTAAAAGCAAACTTATCTTTTATTTGAGGCTAATTGGCACACAGTATGCAAAGACATTAAAGGCTTCGTCAGAAGATCTTTTATATTTTTTTCAATTGTATTTAATATAATGACCAATCTCTGATATACGCCATTTAAGGTCTATGTACACATCATTATCCTGTAAATTATTAAGCTTACGTCTTACTGTTATTTTAAAGCTTAATGACGATTTTTAGCTAAATCTATTGATATTTTGATAAAATGTCTGAAAACATTTAAATGAATAATGTCAACTTTATCTGCTGTGCATGGATAAAGTTCAAAATGAATACATTGTTACTTGCTTTAACCGAAAGACTTGAATAAAGTTATCATTAGCCGGTTAATTCTAGCTTTATCAGTAACATATATAGACTATTTCTATCTAGAAGAAATATATTTAAAGTAATTATAGATAGTCACTTCGTACACTTCTGACTTTTTAAAATTCTCTTCAATATAGTGTAAATGATAATAGTCTTATTTTTTTGTAGGATTATATGATAATAATGATGTTATATACTACACCAATTTATAATTTATTCCTTTAACTTTCAATTACTTATGTATTCCAGCTATTTTTATCTGCACATCCGGATTTTTATTATCTAATATATTATTTATGAGAACATGTCATATGTTCGTATTTCATTTCCACGAGGTATATGTTTAATTAAATGCAATTTATTATAATCCTGACGTTAATAACTTTTTGTTAATTTACGCATATACTCAGGATTATGTATTGATAACATGTACAATATAATGTATATATATCAATCATGTCTTTGCTTTAACTGTTCATATATTTGAACAGTCAGAGCAAAGACGTTATCTTCAATTTATGCTATTTGAATGTAATGAGATGTTAAATATTAATGAGATTTAATGTCTCATTTCCTTAAGAATGTATTTATTAAAAAAAACTTTATATTAAGACCTTGAAAGTATTTTGATAAAAGAAGAACTGCTGCTAATCTCTGATAGTGAAAGGAATGAGGATGATTAGAAAAATAGATCAATTGATACGTTGCTGGAAAGAAATATCTTTTATCTTTAATATTCAATTATTCATAAAGTTTCTGTTTAATATGATGGCGGTTGGTTTATACACACTTTTCTATATTGTAATTTTCTACTATGTTATATGTTCAAGGGCAATTAACTTCATGTATTTATTATACATTCCAATTGATATTAACAACGTATAAAGGTCTATTTATACTTTCCACTCAGATACGTAACGGTAATGTTCCGTAACGATCAGATAAAGATTGTCCAATGATTTTTAAATGCGAGTGTTTATACATAAAGGAGCGGTTCGGTTCAGAGACGTACTGGATTCGAAGAAGGAGCATTCAACATTCTTCGCCATGTTTGGTTTGAAACGATACTTGTCTGAAGTTCTGAACCTTTGCAACAAGCATGAATGGAAAGGGTCGGATGGTATTCATTATATTAAAACATTGCAATCTAAAACTTAACGCAGAAAATCATGTGATTGTAATGTTTTACCATAGTGAAGTTTAATTTTAAGAGTTTTATATCACTCTACGGTATACAGCGACGAATAATGGTTTCTTGTCAAATTTTTAAAATAATAATTGTAAAATAAAAAAAAATTATCGCGATCATTGTCCCTTGTATACCGATGTCGGGATAAGTTATAATTTAGCAGTAGCTCTCTTTAGTAAAGCCAGAGTCAATGGATTATCTAGTCATTGACTGTGAGCGGAAAAGTACTGGAAATGACTTTATTGGCCGCTGGAGGCACTTCGAATGTTTGAGCTCTGCTACAGTGTGAAAACAGTAGAAGGCATTTTATTTTACAGTCGTTTAATCATTTGTTTTTAGTCATTTAGTCATTAGCATTTATTAATTAACGGATTTAGTTATTAGCGTTTAATCTTTAAGGCATTTAGTTATTTAGTCATTTAGATTTTACTCATTTAGTCATAAGCAAACATGCCAACGTACTTTGTTCCCGGGTGCAATTGCATCTACTCTAGTGAAAAAGAAAATAAAAACACTTTTTAGGGTGTCAGAAAATTATTTGGAATGCTGGAGAAGATTCATTCCACGTGAAGATAAGGAATTAATCACAAAGGCTCTTATATGTTACAAGAAGTTTGAGGATAAAGTAGAGATTACCTTTACTTTTAAGAGTGAGAACAATAGGCATTCAGAGACCAGATAATCTATTAATTCTGGCAAAGCTCACCACACGTGCAATTGCAAAGTAACAATTTTGACCGTTAATATCTCCAAGACCATTGAACCGATTTGAATGAAATTTAAAATATTTAGTATCCAAGATGAGACGTCTTAAAACTTGAATAAATTCGTTGGCTAGTTTTGGATTTAAGCAATAGACGTTTCGTCACTTTTTTTCGCCTAGATTTACGAGATAGTATACGACACCAAGCTACCGAAGAATATAAGATTCTGCATATACTTAATAGCTCTTTCGAGAGCCGACACCTCTTTTGTGGTCTTTTTGAAGATTTCATTTTAAAAATATCGAGTATTTATAAAATGATAGCTGATTGATCAATAATATATTAAAATTGAAAAAAATAGTTATCATGTGAAATGACGTTTTGCGATTAATTGAAGACATTTTGTCTATTACTGCACATATAGATTTTTTCTATACAGACGATAGAATGTTTGTCTCTTTGTCTTTACATTTAACAATAATTGTATCGTTCTATTCTTATGACTGATAATTTCAGCAAAATATTTTATCTTGAAAGTTTCATGTGTGAAAACAAAATACAACTAATACACTTTATAGTATATTTAATAATCGCAGATATTACTTAATTTTGCAAAATGTAAGCATCTCGATGAACTAATCCATGTGTAAAAATATTCACTACATAATCTTGAAAAGTATATTCAATATTTTAATAAGCCATAAAAATATTTGAAATATTTATTTAGTGCTATTAATACATACTAAAATTGATATATATCTAAAATCTTTTGCATGTTTAGAATTGTCCAATGTGGCTCTTCGTGGTTTCATTAATTTGATCCCAGAGTGATCCTAGATCATCTTTATATTCTTGAAAAAATTCAATAGCTTTTCTGGCTGTCTCTACACTGATATCTTTACCGTCACCAATAATCTAGATATACATATATAAATGTACATATATAAATGTAAATACATAAATAAAGCATGATTCATATACAATATTATTTATATAAAAAAATCTATAAGTTTACTCACTTCAATACCCAAAGCTGTGATTCTACTAAAACCAGACCTAAGTTTTTCCAGACCAAATAACCATCTATCTTTAAGGAACTCTTGTAATTTTTTTGCTTTTTCGCGAAGATCTTCTTCCAAGTCTTTAAATAATTCATTTATTCTTTCTTTAGATTTATTGTCACAGTAATTTTTATTGTTATAACTTTGAAAAGTCAAGTCCAAAAGTTCAAGAAAGTCGTCCTCTTTCAATTTTAATAAAACTTCTTTTAGTTTTCGTAACTCCTAAGAGAAATATAAAATAATTATTCATAGAAACGAAATACGTTAATAAATTATTTCACTAAATATATTCATAAGTTTTAAGTTATTATTTGAATTAGGAATTTATTAAGGGGAAGAAAATAATTTTTGTTTACTGAATTTTTAGTGATGAAATTTTTAATGTATTTGCGAATCTTGTTGATAATTTCGCTTTGGAAAACCTGGAAATAATTTTAAATTCATTAAAAAACAGATAATTGTTGGACAAACTTATTCGCAAAGAATAAAACTGACCCGTTTCTTGATCCATTCGGCAAATTCGCTAAATCTTATTCGGGCAATATGATCCATTTCTTGATCTAAATTACGTTTACCTAGAATTAAAAATAATTATAACAAGTTTTTTTACTATTATAAATTAATTATATTTGTATATATGTACGAGAACTTACCAAATCCATGATTTTCCAAAAAATTTTTTAAACTCTGTTTGATCAAATGTTTCAGCTTTTTCAAGAAAATTTTAGAATTCTGATCATCTTCCTTTAGTTCCTTTAACTTTTCTTTTATATCTTTAACCTTAAAAATTATTAGAAAATGTTTATTTATTTAATTAATCTGTATTGATGATAATAGAATAATAATTCTGAAATAAAATTATAAAATTATTCGGAGCTAAATTTTATGTAAAAATCGTTATATTTTAATAAAATTATTATAAAATGCAGCAATATTTATAAAAAGTAAATTGAATTCGTTTGCAAAGTTAGCAATTTTTCTTACTAAAAAGTTTTATAATAATAAATCAATACAGATTTCATCAATAGATTTGAGATAAAATATTGAAGCCGAATCATAAGAAAGAAGATAAATGCATTAATTATACACTTTTTTATTTTCAATACACAGATTTATAAATATAAATAGATTTTTTTAAATATGTAAATAATATTTGAGAATTATAAGTAATATTATTATATAAATAAAAAAGAATATTAATGTTTCTTATTTATGATGAAATACTGTATATACAAGTACTGTACATATACTGTATAATGTTAAATATAGCAACTACAATGCTATATTTTGTTTAAAATATTGTATAAAAATGCAATAGAGAGGAATAAACAGAACAAATGAGGTCACAAAGAATGTAATTTTAATGAAATTATTTTATTATAACAGAAAATTGCATTCAATTTCAAAATAAAATAAGTTTTATATTAGAAAAAATTTAAAATAATTACCATTTCAACTAATTTTTCGGCTACTTCTTTCCCATTTTCTACTGTTGCTTTTATTTGTTGGAAAATATTTTCTAATTCATCTTTTAATATCTTTTCCAAGCCTTCTTTGATATCATCTTCTATGCTAAATATATAAAATTATCTACATGAATAATTGTAAATAAATAAATAAATAAGCAATTCATTTAACTATATAAAAATTAATATTTTTTGTATAGAAATAATAATTTTATTTTAAATAAGAAATAAAATAGAGATCAAATATATTTTTGTATACGTTTGATCTTCTATAAATCGTGTCTGAGCATATGTGCAATTGAAGAAATAATTTTTATCAATAGTAGATTGGCATATTACTTTCATTGTCATCAAGATTGATTAAAATTCTCTGCCATTTGCAGACTAAAAATGAAATTATTAATTTTCCAATGATTTTAAGATGTTAGTGTCATCTTTCGAATTAAAGAAGAATTATTTCTTATGAAAAACATATTTCATTAAAAAAATTGAAACAACTTAACAATTTATTAATATTAATATGCTAAATTTATATTTCAAATATGAATTTAATGTGATTTTAAAGCAGCACAACATTGTGTTCTAATATGAATAATACTAATAAATAAATTATATTGTAATCGTTACAAAATACACTCATACAGGTTTAAAAAAAATCTATAAAATTTACCACTAACTCAAAGTAATCAAAATAATCAAATTATTTGCTGTGAAATTTGTATGTGTATGTATTTATTATTGGTTTTTTACTGGTAAATGACAACGAAGTACGTGTGTGATGGCCGAGGAGGGATTCTCCCTAGAAGGCTTTCTATGGAATGGCCCATATATAGGTTTTAGAAACAAAATAATCAGGGAAACTCCACGTGCTGGCCAGCACGTGAAGTTTCCCTGATTACGTCCCCTTTGGCGAAGCGCGAACCCACGACCGACCAGTGTTCAGTGATTTTATCTACTAAGCCAATGGCTTTATCCTATGGGCGCGTTATCCTATGGGAATTGCTTGGAACCCCCCAATGGGGGGTTCCAAGCAATTCCCATAGGAGCATATTCCAAGCAATCTATTATAGAAAAATAATTCATACCAATCTATTATAAGAAAATATTTTTCCCAAAAATTCCCTGTAAGAAAAATGTCTGAGGTGAATATTGTACTGTACACGAGGCATCTTAATTCAAATTTGCCTGGGTCCCATGAAGCCCATTAAGCACATATTATTATTGCTTAAAATCATGTCACAGACTAATCAAATATGTAAAATTTGTTAGCTATTTTGTATTATGTCAGGTGTTAATAAAACGTTAGACATTACATGAAATATAAAATGCCAGGTTTCATCTGAAAATTCATTAGAAAATTCACCGTGTTGTTTTGGAATGTATGACTATACTACAGAAAAGAGAGCTAAAACTTAAAAAAAACTAAATAATTTTATTCTTTTCAATTATAATTCCGTATTGAAAAGTTAGCAATTAAAATTTAAGGAAATTTTTTGTTATTTCACTAAAACAAATCTTTTTTATTGTACATTTTTTGGACTCTGTATAAATAGTTTATTAATAATCAATTCTATTAATTTTTTTATTTTTGATACCGCTATATAAAGTTCATAATTATGTGTGTGTCTGAGTGGTGTAAAATAGACCCAAATCAATCCTAAATATGGAAATCCACTCATATTTAAAAAGCGTAAAAAATATACGAGTAAAATTAATAAAGTAAAAAATAAAAAATATTTTTATCACTTTAAAAATAACGTTAATATTGCTTTCATTATTATTATTTCTATAAAAGACTAAATTTTTGAAACTATTTTCCTCTATCTTTCTGAGATTAGTCAAGATGCATTTCGTTGATAGAGAAGAATTACAGTCTTAAATAAATCTAACAAGTTGCTCTTTATTGATCTTTTTGTTGTTCCAAATTAATGATGTTACTTAAACTATTTAATTATTTAATAGAATAAAGATAAAACATTTAATCAAAAGAAGCCTAAGCTTGTCTACAGCTGAAAACACCTCTTTGCCTAGTGTTATAAAATAAAAAAGTGAATTTGATTTTGTAAATAAACGTTACAGTTATTTTAAAAACTTATTTAATTTATAGTGCCTTTAAATTACTTCCGAATTCCTCATTTAAGTACGACATTTAATTAATTATACTTTTTTAAAAATCTTACTCGTTCAATTCTTTAGCATCGGATAAACCAATAAATACTTTTAGAGAACCAGATTGTCCAACACCTTCCAAAAATAATTTAACTGCTTTATCTACGGTAGAAGCAGCGCCTGTTCCAAATTTAGAATGAAAAAATTAATTTTAAATTAAATAATTTAATAAATTTCAACTTGTAAATTAACTACTTACGTTGCCAAATATCGGCAGATGCTAATCCAAAAAGAAGAAACAGAATGCAAATTTTCATAATTTTCTAAATAACAAAATAGAAATTCATTTAATAAAATGTTTAGAAAATTAATTTTATATTTATTTTAATTTAAAACATTAAAAATTACTTGTATTTTTACACAAAGAATTAAAATAAATTATAATTTCCTATCCTTATTCGGAATATGTGTCATTTATGTTATCTTTATCTATAGGAACTGGACACGTGTTCTTTTCTTATCTTTCTTCTTAACTTAAGTAATAATCAAAAGTTCAAATTATTGATATGAAACAGTTATTGATGGGAAGTCGTCATCCGTTTAAATTTAACTTTATAAGTGAGATATCTTATATATATAGCACGACTAAAACTCGATAGAAAGAAGAAAGAAATAAAAATAAATCAGTAATTTCTGAACCGATCAAATTCGTTTACATTTTAAAGATCTGGATGCCCTCATTTAGGCAAGAAACTACTTGCAAAAACACCAATGTAAACTGCTATGGATCGAAAGCATCTGTCAGCTACTCCTTTACAACCCTCTCTCACAATCACAAGATAAAAAATATGGTTAAAAGCGGCAATGTTCTATGCAAACCATTAACATGACTTTCAGAATTTTATCAAAGAACTGGATAAAACAGAAAGTTCTTTCATTGTGGATACCAAGAAAGCTTTGGATAATTTATATTTAACCGCTTCTCTATTTTACATCCGATCCCATTTCTTTCGAATTTGACATTCTTTTTTCCAAAACTTTTGTAAAACTCTACCAACGAATTGTTTAACTTTCCCGACAACATTTAAAACTACGTGTGGCATCATCTGTTATGATATTTTCTTTAAAAAGTTTTTATGTTTGTAATTATTATAAAATGGCAGAAAGCTTAATTTTGAGGGTACGGATGGGTTTTATTAAAAAAATTGTAAACGCTAATAACAAAAAACGAGTAAAATCGTCGTTAAGTCCGATCCTACTGGAGATACGACACACGACTCCCATTATCTCCCCACCTCGTCGATCTTTAACCACGAAAATTTATTAACATTAATCCTCCAGTCAAATTAAAATACTTCTTCAGAGTCAGTTGCATTTAAAAACATTGAGTATATTGAAAATAAACGTATGTACAGTTACAAGTAAAGTTCACATATAAGAATTACAAACATTAGATATTAACAAAGTTCAAAGTAATCATCCACTGCTACAGGTCCGTCGAAAAAGCACCTTGCGACGCACAACTTCAAAGTCTACAACAACACGACAAGATGAGACGATCTACTAAGACAGCTCCCGCGACTAAGGTCAACGTGAGTTCATTCTACGAGTCCAAAGCGAACTAAACTTCCCGCCAGAACTTCACTGCTTTTATAGGATTGAAGCTACATTGAACTCCACCAATCAGCATCTACCAGCTGTATAAGACGTCCGCCGATCGTCCGATGTTTCTTAACCAATCAGCGGTCGAGTCAACAAAATGTTCTGATCGCCGTTTCCATGGCGATAACGGTCGTTCACGAAAAGGCGGGAAAACCGCGCGCTAGACGATTTTTATTCCCGACACCTCCTAATAAACAAACCTCTCTGCAAAATTTCAGAAAATTTTGACGGAAAGCGCAGGAGTTATTAAGCTTCTAATAGGGTGAACAAAATCGTGCCACACATACCAACACCAGAAAAAAAAACCCGAATTTTTTGCATTTCTCGACGTTTCAAGGTCCCTGACTCCAAAAGTGTAAAAATATTGGGGGAGGGGGTTATGTTTTGACCATTAGCCATACTTTCCATTTGTTATATATAACAGAAAGTAAAAATATCAACAATATTTTCATAAGAGATCGAAATAATGGTACAGTATTGTTTTCTGTAACAATAGAATGCTATCGTTCTTGTGATTGTTTGTGAAGAATCTCTGTAAAGGTACAATTTTCATTTCAAACAAAATGTGGATCGGTTTGCGTGACACTTCGGTCGTTATTGGAAAATTACATAAATTCTAAAACAGGAAACAAATATCTGCTACAATATCGGATCAAAAGCCGTCTTTTATGTTTGATCTAGATTTTTGACTCGAAAATATCGTGGTTTTCGTCCGATTCTCCAAACGTCAATCCCCAATGATGTCATATCAACGGAGAAAAAGGATTATTGACGATTCCTTGCTTCCAGTATCTAAGATTTATTCTTGGTTCTTGGCGATGTGACTTTCGCCAGACACTCCAATTACTGTTCGATTTATAAACTTGAACTACAGTTGGAGTGTCTGGCAAGGTAAGTGTTGAAGGCATTTAGTGCATATCTGATTCTAATGGTGATTATTCTTCCAATGAGAATAAAATACAGAAGACACGGGCTTTATTCAGCGGCATGGTTTAAAGGTAAAAGAATTGACAATAAGATAGAAGAGAAAAGGAACTCGTGAAAGGTAAAGATAATAAAGAAAGCAGGAAAAATACGTGGTTTCGAGACACTGCGTTTGTCTATCCGCAAAAGGATCAGCCTTAAAGTGCAGATTTAATCCCGACATCTCCCAGTTAGGTTATTAAAATAATATTATATATATATATATATTTATTTATTTATTACGAAGAAAAGAGTAGTTACTTTTAGTATTTTTATAATGTTTTATCCAGGAAAATGTAATATTCTATTTGTGAGAAATAAGTAAATACGTAGACAAGACATGGAAGACGTGACCTGCTCTTAGGTAAAGTTTTAATAGGACTCTTCTGAAAGATAAACATTTTTGTCTGATGTTTAATCCTAGAAAAAGGCGTGCGAAGTAAATGTAATTCCTTCTGATTCATTGATTTTACAATAATGTGAATTTCCATTTGCGGTTCAGGAAAGTTGTTACGTGAATGGAAAGTGGATCTTTGAACAATCGCCGATCCTCTAACGAACGAAGACGAAATCTGCAAAATACAATCGGAGGTGAAATCCATTAACCTAAACTTGGAACGAATGAGATTAACGGAGAGTAAGAGGGACAGAGAAGTAGTCCCATATCATAATAAGTATTAATAGCTTAAGTTTTCCATTTTTTTGTTTAATTCTACAAGGTTTAAAATGCTTGTGTTATATGAGCATTTTTTAAAATAATCTTGAGACCGACTGAATATTTATTGGGTTCGAATGGATAGAGGGGGAAGAAAGAGAACAAAAATCATTATTGGTCGTTTTATTTATGATTACCTCGGGCGCGATCCAGTTTTTCTCTCTACTTGCTACACTGTCAAGCAAGTAGGGTTGGTTTCTGAATAAGAAAAAAAAACCACCACAAAATGGGTGTCATCTTGACGTGGTTTTGTGGCTTAAGTGTTGAAAATTTTATGATAATTATGGAAATTGAATTTTCCACAAACCGAGAACATCCGACAGCATTCATTTTCGAGATTTCTAGGGATGTTTCAGAGTTGTACCGTAAAGAATCTGAAGCGCTGTTTCCATATAACAAGAGAGAATGAATTTCTCCTGGTATCTTGGGAATAACTAAACGAAACCTCCATATATGATAAATGTTTATTTACAAGGCTCTATGTATTAGCTTTGTTTTGTCTTTTTGTTTTCTTCTTGATGAAGCTGAGAAAAGCGATGCTACGCTCGATCTGGTTTTGTCAATTTGGTCAATTATAAAGGTAATAAAGATAAAAAAAGAACACCTTGTTTACTCTTTACGAGTTTGAATATAGAGTTTGGATCTTTGCAATTGTTAATTTCTTGTGTTTTATTTTTCAGGCATGCCGACTTTCATGTCTGACTGGAACTTGACATGATAACATTTTTGCTGATCGAATTTACTTCGGGCATTTTTTCTTTATCTAATACAGTTAATGAATGTTTCTGTATTGTCTTTGTATCACTCGTGAAGACTGGTGTAATATAGAAGCTTACATCATTATATTTCTACAAGTAGAGTGGAGAATTCAACTTACTACAAACTCTTTTAGATTATACAGATATAAACATACAGAATATATTTCGTTGATGTTTCAATGTACAGACTTTTATATCAAATTTTAATGGACATATGTATATCGTGTATTTAGGAACATCACAATCTATTTTTCATATCTAAATATAGATTGTTTTGTTTGCCCCTAGATTTGAGATTTAAACAATTAGATAAAGGATACAAATCTAGATTGTTTCATCTCGAATTTAACTATTTTCTAGATTTTATTTAATTATTAAAGTGAAGGTAAGATCAGAAGAGTTTCAAGTGGTAAGTGTAGTACTTAATTTCTGGATAGGGCACAATAACGTGTGTTTAATACCAGTGAATCCTCAAATTATAAAAATATAACTATATATTTATAATCTCAGTAATTTGAAGTAAATGGCATCCACGCAAACGTATTGGCATTTCTGTTCTTTTCGCTGCACTAAATACTTACCTCCAAAAGACTTACTGCAGCATTGCAGAGATTGAACCTACAAATTTTTTAATGAGCCATCTTGTTGGCCAAAATGGCTGATGAAAAATGCTCCTATATCTCCTTGGAGGAACTCACGAAGGGTTGGATTAAAAAACACCCTTTTATTGCTTACAGTACGGAAAGAGTCAAGTATAGGCCTATACATCGTTTAAAATATCAGACACTTTTATATAATTTATTAAATTATAAAAAAATATATATTTATTTAACGTTGAAACTTTGTAAAAATTTAATTAGCTATCAATTTTTATATCGTGACATTATAAACTTATTTTTAATTAAATTAAATAATAATAGTATTTACACGTAATAAAAATATTGTTATAAAAATTTTGAAATATCCAATATTTAATATTGTTTAAAAGAACAATCAGAAACTTAAGTTTAATGAAGGGACATTTTCACATAATATATTCAGTTTAAAGTTGGAAACTCATTAAGCTTTAGTCTTTGTTATCTAAATGTTACAACTAATACAACTACTATACTTATATAGGATATAAAATCAACTTTAACAACCATTTTCAATGACCATTAAGACAGATTTCTTTATAGCCAAACAGTAAAACTAAATGAAAGTGTCAACGTAATTACAACATTTAAATGATGTGTATCATTTCCACTTGTGCTATAATTTTCTAACGATTGTAAATATTCATTCAAAAATTTTAAACATTATATTATTATTTCTCGACATATTAATGTTTTAGTTAATTATAAATTTTTAAACAAAATATTTTAAAACCTGCCTTGTATTTTATAATATTTAAATTCAAATTTTTGAAGTAATCCTTTCAGACCGTTGATGTCAACTCAATAAAGTGGATAAACGCCAAGTGTTTTAATAATAACACAGTCTTGTGTTCAATAGTAAATTCATGTTTCTGTTGTATAAGAAAGAGGAATTATAGACTTTATTTTGTTTGTATTTGTCTTCTTACTATCGATATTTTTGATTAGTTTTCGTTTATTTAATATCGTAGGAATAGAATGATTAAAATCCTTAGTCCTAACTTTATTTCCTGATTTCTAATGGAATTAAATCTATATTTGTATTGTTTGTATTTGCTCACTTTGTGTAATTTTTGTATTAGAGTATCCGTGTTTACATTCTTACAATCAATCGTGTAAACAGAACGAAATGTAACATATAAATATGTTATGACTGTTTTTCAAATTATGAGAGTTTATTTATTTTTTAGAAACCTAATACGGCATTTAATCTCATTATATTAACATTAGAGTCACGACTTTAATAAATCAATCGTCTAAGGAAGATTCTTATATTTGAGTAAAGTATGGCGATCGATCAATAAATGACTACCAAAATTTTTGGACTCAGAGGACCTTGAAAACTGTGAAATGAAGAATTTTCTATGCTCTAAGGATCATTATGAATAATAAATAATAAATTTATAGTATAAAGGAACATTGTAGATTAAAAATATAATGAATAAATTTACTAATATTTTTATATACAAGGCGATTCATATCCTTCTTCCAGGAGTTTCACACCATATCTCTGGAAAAATTCAGTATGTATTATTAAAATAAAATTTAAAAAGGTAATTTCATAGTTTTAAATAGAAACATTTTCATTTTCGATTAGAAATTTCTTCCATTTCTTATTTCTTCACACGAGTGGAAAAGTTTTGGTATGTAGTTTTTGTATCCTTACGTACATTTTAATGAAATTAAACAATAAAATCATGTTACTTTCAATACTTTTTGAGATTTAAAACCTGAATGGATAGTCTGTACCAAACTGTATATAAACTCTTTCTGCAAAATGCAAAACTAAGTTTATTACCTTATACACTGTTTACTTATATTTACATAATTTTATAATAGATAATACCGTATTTCTAATGTGTGGTTATGCAGAGACGATTACGAACAATTTTAAAACACGACACACAACAGTTATAGATTAAAATAGTAAATGATATATGAATAATTATAATATTTATAAAAATATTCAAATTATACGAATAAGTTTTTAAAAAACCTCAATATTGTTAAAAAAAATTCGCAATAATGATTAAAAAAATTAAATAAATACATTTTATTTAATATTCAAAATCCTTGTTTCGTTAATCGTTGTCCCAATGTTCTATCAGTTTCTGAAGACATGCTGCAGAAAACTCTGTTGATTGCTGTCAAGATACTGTAGTACATGTTCTTGAATTTCTTCATTGCCTAAAAACATTCTCCAACCGATTACTATTTTTTTTGGAATTTTAAAAGAACATTTGGCCGAGAACATTTTTGAAACGATGAAGAGATTCGGGAACATGTACTACAGTATCTCGACAGCAATCAACAGACTTTATGCAGAATGTTTTCAAGTGCTTTCAATGTTTTCAATTGGGACAAGTGCCTAAACGACAAAGAATTTCGTTGAAAATTTAAAGTTCTACGTTAGCAATTTTCTCGATTATTTTTTTAGTGTATAAATAACTAACTTAATTACTGATCCTTCTCTTGTATGAGATACTTTATAAAATAATGACTATAATTAGAAGACACATACATAAATTAGCTGCACAATTCGATTCTTTTACGTCACAGTAACTTAATATTACAAAAAAACGAGTCGATATTCCCTTTGAACACGTAAATTTTCTGAAGTCCTTCTGTAATAACATACAAGGAAGGAGAGAATATTCTTAAAAATAGAAAAAAAAAGAACACCAGACAATATTTGTTTAGAAATTTACATGTTGCTAAGGGTCAACTCCATTATATGATTATCTTCCTAAAAGGGTAGATTATGAAGACTTCAATTTATTACATCAAACTATGAAGATTTAAAGAAATTACCTTGATTTACTGTTATAAAACAATAAATCAATATAAAAGAAAGTTAGAAACGAAATTTAACTAAATAAAAAATAATAATAATAATAAAAATGAAGACACTGAGTTCAGTGTTACATGCATACATTATTTTATCGCAAGCACTTTCGACGAACTTATAGTCGTCGTCCTCGGGAGAAAACAAATATTTTCTGAGAAAATTAAACAGAAATAACCCAATGTAGAATAGAACGCATAACATATAAGTTGAAACTTTGTCAAAACTGTTAAGAATACAAAGCAAATATTCAAATATAATTCGAAAACCGAACGAGCAGTAAGCTCCGTGAAGTGCAAGCTGGCACATGCGCAGAACCAGGCTCACGCTACATGCAAACTGGAGAATGCTAATACTCTGAAAATGACTGAAAAAAGGTGAAGTTTATGGGCTACAAAATAATCAAGGAATCCAAATAATAAAATGGATTGACATAAGACCCATTGTCATGCTCTGAACTGTAGAAACACATTCATGCATTCGCTGACACTGGGAAAAAGTCAAAAAAATCCTAAGAGTCTGTGATGAAACCACAATGTGTCACTGACAGTAATTACATCAAAAAAGGAGTAGATCTGTTGGATCAAATGGAATCCTACTACACCCCGCTCTGAAGAGGTATCAAGTAGTACAGAAAGCTATTGGTAGCTTATTTACTTGGCATTTCCATGGTCAATGCATACTGTATTTATTCCCAGTACCATGGTTCAGGACAAAAACTTCTCTCAATGATGAAGTTCCATGAAGTGGTGGCAAAAAATTACTTGGCAAAACAGTACAGACAAGTGATGACACTTCCTTGTAATAGTAAACACAGCATTCATANTTATTATTATTATTTTTTTTTTTTGAAAAAAAATTTTTTTAAACTGGTAATTGCTATAAATAGTGTTGAAAGTGCAGATCGAAGTTAAGGTGAAAATTGATCAGAACAAATGACATAGTGCTAACTTTTTATTTTTACTTTCAGCCACTTTTTTTAAAGCCATTAATGGTTTTGGACATTAATCATTTGTTTCTTTTACAGGTAGTTTATATCCCTAAAAATCACAAACTAAAAGTTAATTGCCGTAAGTTACATGTTGTCTCGCTCTCTCTCTCTCTCTCTCTCTCTCTCTCTCTCTCCCCCCCCCTCCAAAATTAATGATTATATCCTTTAAAGCTATGAAATTTACGATAGTATTAAAGTTAAACTTGATAAATTAATTTATAATTTATTTATTTATTTTGAAGTATTTTGGTATATGTGTGGGTGGGACACCATTTTATTTACCCACTTTAAAGCTTAATAACTCCTGTATCTTTTGCCGAAAATTTCTGAAATTTTTCATGGTAATTTGTGTATTAGAGGCATTGATGCTGTTAAATTTTAATGGTTATAGGTTTGAAGGGTGAGAAGATAGAGGGGGGATCGTGTGTCATATCTCGAGTTTATAATATAGATAAAGATAAAGATAAAAACCCCCAAATGTTTTTGCAATTCTCAATGTTTCAAGAGCCCGAGTCCAAAAATTTAAAATTCACGGGGGAGGGGGTCATTTTTTGACCAAAAGCCATACTTTCCCTCTGTTATATTACAGCCAAAGATTTTGCTTGACAGAGATAGAAAATTGAGAGATGAATATCAATTGAAAAGCTTATATTTTTCAATACATTAATTATTTTAATGTATAGTTATTGAACAATTAAAATGTAAATGTAAAATTTTAAGCCTACACGTATTTATTTTTCATTTCAAATGATTCGTTTACCGTCATCTCTGTGAGTAATTTCTAGTCAGTTGGGGTAATATTCGATGAAAAAAAAAAAAAATGAAAGAAATCATACCTGCAACTATACATTAAATATAATAATAAAGTGAGATTGTAATCATATTTTTTTCTTAAATAAATTACACGTTATGATATAATTATTATTAATATAAAACAAATATCGAATTCACTTTTAATACATATGTAATGATAATAATATATAGAGAAACACGCATTGATAAAAGCATATAAATTTATAACAACGAGCACTTTCGGGCATTCGGTCTAATCTAGATAATTTTCGGGTTCTTTGCCATTAGAATAGAATAGAAGAGAACCTGATGATGGTATACATTAACGAAGTGCTCGTTATTAATAAATTTATATGCTGATGACCAGGTGTGTTTCTCTGTGTGCTCTGGACTTCAATCAGCTGATTTTTCATTAAAATTTAATTATTTTTCGTTTTGTTTTTATATAATTTATACTTTAAAGAACTTTTTACAATATTTATAAGTTTTTAAATTATTTTATTTGAATTTTATTAAAGACAATTAAAGAATTTTAAGCGTTAGTTACCACTAACGATTATTATTGCGAAACAATGAA